GAGCGCTCGTAGTTATACAATAAAAAACAGAAGGCGGTTCAAGAAAAAAAAAGGGAAACAAAAAGAAATATATCAAAAATGAATAATTTGCTATTACGATATTAGAAGTATGTAATGTATACACGTCCTTTCTTCGAGGAAATGAAGAGTCCGTATAAATAAGACAAAAATAATCGGCATATACACGTACATGTATATTTATCAATACAGAAAGACTAAAGAGTTTCCAGATATTTATATTAATAAGCGCGTGTACGTGCAAATTTTGACGTAGCAAAAGAATAGAATTTATTTGAGTGTATAACGCATGAGGAAAAATTCATTTAAATGTATAATATGAGAGAAAATTGCATTATTTCTGACTTCTGATGTTGTAATGGATTATAAAGAGAAAGCACTTAAGAATAGGAAATAAACAATTGTGTGTAATTCATTTAAAATTATAAAACGTGTAAGGCTGATATTACATTTGTTGTATGATAAAAAAAAAACGGATAAATGTAATATTAGTCCTAAGGAGGACGGAGCATTTTTCCTATTTACGTATACGTTTAGGTACCAAGAGAAGCACAGTATATTAGGGCTTCTTCCCTCTTAAGCGACGCAGTCGGCACAACTATCACTGTATCTTTGTTGTTCATTGAATGTCAAGAAAAGTAGAACATTGTGTCAAATGTTCTTTTAAAAGAACATAATCTAAGTTGCCACGTTCGACTAATGTCACACTTATTCTACATTGCAATGGAGATATCGCAATTCTGTAATCAAGAAAAGTTTATGTTTGAAATCGCTTTTTTTATGCATTAAAAGTTTGCTATTACTATATATAATATTATTTTAATGTAAGTGGTATAAAGAGTGTACCTATAATCTTTTCTCTCTAAGAAATATTTTTAAAAAGAATGAAATACAAACTGTCAGGACATGTATGTTCTGGAGAAAAAAAAAAAGACAAATAGATTGCTACTTTCTCAAAGTGCATAAAATTCTTATATTATAACTTTAGTATAAGGAAATTAAAAGACTTGTGTTTAAAAGATGGTTTATTAAGTCATTTTATACACGTTCGCTCCTCTTTACTTCTTTTACTTGCAAACCTGAAAGAACATTTCAACCACATTGTATTAAAATGCAAATACTCCTTTATAGTATATAAACTTTATTTATATAATGGGAGTACAAATTAGTTCGGTCCGTTTTCCAAAATATGATCGCCTCCAAAGACAAGTCATTTTTTCGAGATGGAATTCGAAAATTGCCTGAGATGGGAAAAAATAGTAGATGCCAGTGATGGATTACACTTTAATTTGTTCATTCATTTTGTTTTGAAACAAATGCATTTTTGAACACAAAAAATGGACCGAACTAATGTATACACCTAATATCTAAATTATCTAATACTATTACAAACATTGCAAATGATGAAAGAAAAAAAAACTCAATTTTAAGGATGAAAAGATTTTAATACCTGGTGGCAAGGACTGCTTGAGTTTCTCAGCTTTCTCCTTGTCTGTAATTACAAGAGTATACAAAAATCGAGAACAGCGGACCTTAAACTTGACGTTTTCTGCATTCTTCTTGATTTTTACAGCTGAAGAAAAACAAAGGAATTAATTACGTTCATGTAAAACTCAAAGAAGAAACTCTTTGAGTTAATAAAAATATTTTACACTTAGCATCCTTTCTCCTGGCTTTCAGCAGAAAGTCCTTGATCTCTTTAATTTCTCGTGGCTGGAAAAAAAAACAAAATACTGTTTACACACCTAACGACTTGATCGAAATTTGTTTTGAAAGAGAGGTTATAATATAAATCTAGTTTATCAATGTAATAAAACAGCGAATTTTTTATTCGTACCTAAAAACGTGCAGAATATGCCAAAATTAAGTAACAAACATTGCTTTACTCACCATATTTTTGCGATTAGTATTAATTAGCTGGACCTGAAATAGATTTAAGATTCAATGAGAAGCTTATAACAAAGTGCAAAACGATTCGGAATGTATGAAACAATGTGCTTTTTCGAGCGAAAATGAAACGATATTTTTGCGAAACGATAAATGATACGTGCAAACGATATGGATACAAAATTAATTCAGAGACACATCATACTCACCACTTCGAACACACGTTGACACTCCCTCAGGAAAAAGAAACGGATTGATACCGCAATTCGTCAGTTTAAGCAGAAAGAAACCGTAGAGAGGACATGAAGGCTTTTTACCTAAAACCGCATTATCGCCCTCTGAAGAAATGGATGTCAACTACACAACAATATCCACGGCGTTTCTGATGGAAATAATTCGCTGAACGGCTGAAATCGTCAAATCTTAAATTATAATTTGATAGATTTTAGTTATTTCAATGATTTCAGCAATTTATTTCCATCAGGAGCGCCGAAGAAAAGTGGATTTGTTGTGTAGTTGATATCCACTTCTTCAGAGGACGGTAGCGTGCGGCAACATTGGGCGGTTACAGGGAAAAAGCCTTGTGTCCTCTCTTTAGATTTCTCTCTGGTTTAGGTAAGCCTGGAAGCTAAAGTCAAATCAGCAGTTCAATCGGCAGCATTTGAAGTGGAAAAATTGGAGCAAATCTGCGTCATAATTTCTTTAAAAAAAATTGAGGAATTTTGACTGAAATAATACATATACACAAATCTGGACAAAAATAACAGAACACATTTTGCAACAAAAATTTTAAATTCTTATCGGCTGTTTCATCGATAAAGTAGAATACATACATGTCTCGCGATTTGAAAGGTAGAAACAGTTCAATGAAAAAGGTTAATGTAGAAGAGTACAGTTATTTTGAGGTACATACAGTGAGTACGAATCTAATAATATAGATATTATTCATATAGAAATAACGTAGCATATAAATATATACATCTATATATAAAAATTTAATTTTAGATCATTCATAAATTCGTTCAGCTATCTCATTTATATCAACTTTCATCATACAAGAGGAAATTATTAACGGACTGCAGACGGATCAGTTTGTTATCGCAAAATATTTCTCCCGCTTCCGGTTTTCATCTTATTACTTATTTATAAGACTTTGCAACACACAGTCATTAGAGTCGAGCCAAGTTGACTACCGTAACGTAAGACACGCGACATTAAATCGCGTTAAACATAAATCGAACGGTAACAGATTACGTGTTTTAACTTTTTCGAGCAATCTTGACGCAGTCGCATGAGTTAACAGGATTCAGACAGGCGCGCACGCGATCTTGCTTGCATCGACGTCGTCGAGGATCCAATTAGGCTGTCTCATCTCGCCGGAGAGTCGATGCTAGACGAGAACACGCAGCATGGAAAGCACGGAGCAACCGAGTAACGAGCAGAAACCAAAGGACAGGTTAGTCGGTCTGCTAGATCACATCGAGGCCCATGTAGAGCAGCTGCGAAAGGATGCCGCCAGGCTTATGGAAGAAAAGGATGGTCTGTTGACGACCTTGGACACCCTTAGGAATAACGACTTGCTGATCTCCCTGGAGGAACGTGAGTGAACGAATTAATTTACTGTATTTAATGGGATGTTTCACAATATTTTGGTTTAATTTGAACTAGAATGATAGAGAGAGAAGGACAAGAAAAAAGAGTAGAGAGATATTATACTACTCCATCTCAGAATAGTTTTTTATTCTATGATTAATACATTTCTCATGTATTGCATGTGTATTTTAATTAATTATTGTACTTCTAAGATTATCAATTTTAATTGTAGAAGAAAATATGAAAAAATATTAAGGTAATAGGATCATTATATAAGTTACTTAGTAAACAGGTAGTCTAACTGTTGTTGTTTCTTATAGAAAAATGTTCTAACAAGTTGAAGAAACAAATACAGATTGCTCTTTAGCAAGAGACACAGATGATATAATATAACATAGTGAATCATTACATTTTTATTTACCAATATTAATTAAAGATAATATGATTATTGTGTTATACTATCATCTATATCTTTTGCTGAAAACTTAATAGCTTATTTTATTTCAATTTATTGCACCAGTGCATATATTAGTTTAAAACATTTTTCAAAAAGAAGAAATGTAGAATTATTTTAACATCATGTATGTCTCAATTTAAACATTTACAATTTTCTTTAAAATAATGTTAAAAGCATTTATCATATCTTTTATCTAGCTGATAGAGATGATATCTTAAGGTACGCAGATAGATTGTCCATGCGCTGTTCCACTGTAGATGTATTAGTCACAGTCCAACGAGATCATGTTCAAGAGGAAGCATTACATCAGGTTTGAGATTCACTTACAATATCTTATAAAAATATATTAGAGATCAATTGTAAGCAGAGTCCTAAGACTCATAAATTGTTCTCATAAAATTTCTAAAGACTTAATACTAGTATTCTAATTTTATATGTATCTTTTTATGTATCATAAATGTAAAATTACAATTAATATCTATGATTTATTGTAAATCTTATGGCTAGTGAGGTGTCTGTAGAGATATTGTATAAAGATATGAGCACTTAAAAGTTCGTGTATAAGTATTACAAGAATGTTATGAACCTTACGATTCTGCTTAGAGTTTAAGGTCCAGTTTCAGAATTCAATGACTAATTGAATATTATTATAATCTAGGTTAATGGTTTGATCGACAGCTTGGTCATAAGCTTGCGACAAGATCCAAATGGCACTCGACAGCGATGTGCAGAATTTATGAATGCATGCTCCTCCCATAGCATAGGACATTCCGATAAGATCTTTGAGACCGCTATTCTTGGATGCACATTAGACGATCAAAAGCGAGTGAAGAAAAGATTGCAGGGATTGCTCGATTATATCGATAAGATGCACATCTTGGAGATGACACAGTAAATAACACTTAGAGATTGTTCAGCAAATATTGAATTTGCCTGATTTTCCATACGAGTTCCGAATGGCGAATCTTTTTGACGGTCTAGCGCTGTTGTGGACAGCGAATTAAGAGACAGTTGAGAAAGAGATATTCTGTAACACCTTTTCTGCACGGCTGAGTTTCCATTTTCCTTCCACTTTGCAAATAGCTACTTAAAAATGGAACACTTGGCTGTGTACAGAACACACTATGTGTGATTGATTGGATTTAATCTTATAGTGATGCGATATTGATTCTCAGCGTTTATACAATTCCTAAGCATATTTTAAGACACTTGGCATTTCGGCAATTTTAGAAAAAAAAAGTTAAAAAAGCATTTTTTTAAATCTGTATGTTTGAAATAAAGAGGAATTTCTAGAGGATGTGTATAATTGCGCTTGTAAAATTTTGAATATTACTTGAATGATATATTAAAAATATAAAATGGGCCACTTTTTATCATCATTCTAACAGGATTTACTTCGTGAAAAATTTAGTTCACTAATTAATTTCGAGTGTACCAAGAATGGTTAAATTATCTTATTTTATTATTAAAAGTCATTTGATTTTTTAATGATTCAAAAAGTTCTGTTGATCGTATCTTTAATACACACAAGTGATGCCGATTCTTAAAAAAAAGTATCGAATTTCAGAGTCGATCAATTCTTTTAGGTTTGATTCTTAATCGTGTATAAATTGGAAAAAAAGGATTGATTCCGAAGAATCGATTTTTTCGCTTCTTTTTTTTAGCAATCAGGTAATTTCTTAGAGAGAGAGAAGGGGAAGGGGGAGAGTGAGAAGAACGAGAGAGAGAGAGTGGGAAAGGTATATACAAGGATTCTTAATTTTATATTGTACTCTTTAGTCATATATGTATATTTTGATATGAACTTTTCTTGCGCAAGAATTATTTACGTATTATGTTGATTTACGTATATTTTTCGAGAACTTAGAAAGTCTAACCCCGGATCTACAATAGGTGTTTCAAGCCTTAAGCCGTAAGAAATTACAGTCGAATTCGAGGAGAATAATTGATTATAATACGTCCATTTCTTATGGCTTAAGGCTTAAAGCTCTATTATAGATCCGGGATTAAGCCCATGGCTGCACAGTGATTGGCAGCATCCAATCGCTCCGTATCGAATCATGCGCCTCTCCTTCGAAATAATGATTTAGAAAAATTGAATCGGTACGATTCTGTGAAAAATTAAATCGATTCCGAAAGAATCGAGAAATTAAAGAATCGATTCTCAATGCATCGATACAAGAATCGGCATCACTAATATACACACAATTAATTTAAATTTCTCGTTTCTTTTATCCTCGTTTATAGTGCCTTTTCTTAGATTTTGCTTATCAAAGATAATTTTATTTTTAGCAAAATGTACAGAGAGATTTTATTGTGTTCTGTAATATTACAAATAAGTAAAAGTATAACGTTAGTTCTTAAGTAACTTATTGTAACATACCATTGCTTTAGGAAATTGTAGTTTACACCAATTGTTCTTAAGACTCCTATATTTTTGCTACAATCAAATTGGATTATAACGTCAGAAGTGAAATGTGTATGAAAAACAGAAATTCATATAATTTTTTATTTTTGACGGCGTAATTCTGTAGTTAAACTTATATAAACGTTAAAGAAACAAAAGCCTTAAATCACAATACATGATGAAATACATTTTTACTTAATTGTTTAAAATTTAATTCAAAATGAATTTTAATATTTTATGAAATTGAACTGATCTTGTGAATTATTATATTCTGATGTAATATTGACGCGTTAATCTGTAAATAATATTATTGTCATTATTTAACGCTACATTCATATTAAAATCTTAATTTTATAATTTGGTCCTTGAATACGATGCAATTTTAAGTTTAATAATTCATTAGACGTATGTATGATAGTATGGCGAGATATTTACAAATTACGCGTCATATTTGTATCACTATTCCCATCCGCATTTTGCGAGTACGCACAGTTGTATATTTTACGATTAATCTTCTTCCATACCTTACAATCTACAACCATTTGGTTAACATTATGAGCATAATTATGGTGATTATTTCCATTGCGTTTAAATTAATGAGTTCCCAAATGCACTTATGCACGAAACCGTCGCAGGCTGTTAATTAGAATACAATAAACTCTTACACTAACGGACACTGTAAATCACCGTCCGTTTACGTCTTCAGAGAATAAACTATATATATTTACAAGACACCACTTGTACCTTTAACGTCTTTGTGTAACACTTGGAACGTAATGTAATGTTATTTTGCGTATATATTGCTACAAGAGTCTACAAGCGTTCTTTACGAAATTTCGTTTCTTATGACTCTTCGTTTTGCCACCGGGTCGAAGGATTATCGTTCCATTACTGGCGTTACGACCACACATTGACCCATCTGGACTAAACGCACCTGTAAAATAAAGAGAGATGTAACTTCATTCATACTGCAGACGAATTACAGCTTTTTGCAATACAATTGAGTATATACTGATGACTGAAGGAGATCTAGGTTCCGCGGAATATAATCTCAAATCGTCCTGATAGTCATCGTCGGAGCGACGCATCTCGTGCAAACATCGGGATGCCAAATGTCGGAAGACACTCATCACGCCGATATCTTCCTTCACAGATGTCCGCAGGAGTTTGCAACCTAAGGTGCGGCCGAGCCTCTCGGCTTCGTCCCTGTAATATCAGGTGCTCCTGATATAAATTTCATTTTGAAGAAAATCAATAGAAATGGTTTAACGCATACTCACGTATCGATCACGCTTTGGTCGACAAGATCGATTTTATTTTGCACCAGAACTGTGGGTATTTCTCCACACTCATTCTCGACCTATAAGAAAATATTTTAAGAAAATTTTGTGCAGAATGTCTAAGAAAAAGAAACCATATTTTTTAATAATAGAACTTTTCCGACATTTTAGAGTCAATTTTTCCTCGTCAAAGGTGACAAATAATTTCCATGTAAATTAAATTGTCATTTCCTCTATTAATTTTAAATGAAATTTACAGATTTGTACCTTAAGTTTCCACGAGGGAATAGCTTCGAAAGAATCTCTATCGGTTGCTGAATAAGCGAGGACACAGGCATGTGCACCGCGATAATAAGCCGCGGTTATCGCATCGAATTCTTCCTGTCCTGCAGTATCCCATAGCATCAATCTTACATCCTCACCGTCGACTCTGTCAACACAATATACATATATTTATTTACACATTAGTTGTTATAATACTATTTAATCAACTATAATCTTAAAAAAAAAGGTCTATGAATTTTCTCGAATAATTTACCGTTATCAAAATTCATAATCTTAATTTTAATTCTAATTAATTTTGATTATCTATTATATTCCTAATTTTATTTGCGTGAATGCATGATATGCTCCTCAAATTATAAGTTAAGGGTCAAATTGTTGCAACTGCTATGCAAAGGACGATTAATCGTAAGATAGATATCAAAGAATGAATCGTATGCGAGAGATAAAATTCCTTCCAATATATTGACCGACATTACATCGGTAGTTGGCATCAAGAGGGGATACAAAAAGTATCCCACGGTAGCTCACGCTGGCACGATTAAAATCAAGTTTTTCTCAGGCACGTCGCTCTCGAACTTGTATAGGTAGCGGTATATAATGATCAGCATCGAATAATCCGATCAGCAAACATTATGTCCGAATTCAATTTGTCTAACATTCGTCATATGATTTGTATTTTGGAAAAAATATGTGAAACATTCACACAAATCCCTTCCTCCCCCTCCCCCGCTCTCTAAATATTTCATTATTATATCCATACAATATCTGATCGTTTTTTAATATCCACAATGTTCCTAAACGAACAATCCTCTGATTGTGAGTCTTAAAGATTTAACATTAATAAATTAATTATAATTAGATCAAGAGCCTTTTCTGTCAATCTCTAATTAATTAATGACAATTATAACTCGCAAAAGTGCCAACAGCAATTTAATGTATCTTCTAGAACTTCTCTGTTTTTTCTGTCTTGAAAACTGTGTTTAGTTCTCACGTTAACAATCGCGAAGTCTAATTTAATCATCGATTAATTTAACTGAAAATTGATGAAAGAGGCTCTCACTTTTGCTCTGAATGCCGCGTTTGCGTTGAATCAGCTTAATTTTGAATTGAAACGATTCGACACGTTCGAGCGATTACTTACTCGATCTCACGCTCTAGGAAGTCGACGCCGATCGTCTTCTTGTAGTCTCTCGTATATGTACCTTTGCAAAACCTTTGAATCATCGACGACTTCCCCACGGCACCGTTGCCCACTATCACCACCTAAGTGAAAGATATCAATATTACTATTCGCAAGATAAAGAATCACACGTAGAATATTTATTGAGTAGTTTTTATTCTATATAAATTAAGACCTAAAACTATCGATTGAACTATCCATTGGAGGTCATAGTCCAAATAATTTTTGCCAAATATGACCGGTAAAACGTTGAATGAGAAAGTGGGCTACATTATACTCGATAGAATATTATATATTGAGTATATTATAGTTCTTATTCTATACAATTTAATAACTATCGATCGAACTATCGAGGATCATAATCCAAATAATTTCTGTGAAGAAGTTACGACCAAAGAAGCATCGCGTGATGAGGAAGTGGGTTATATCGATAAAGAATCCATAAAAAAAACCGGTCGCCGATGGCAATCTCTACCAACATGGTTTAGACCAGGCTTTATAATTCAAATTGACGACAGCGATGGAAAGAATCTCAAGAATGCGCGTATATGAAAATATCAAAGTATTTAATATTGGTATTTGAACAGCGATACGATGAAATTGATATCTAATCTGTGTCGGAGATTTTCCTGAATTCCATACGTGCATCCTTATCTCGACTTATCGATCCTGATAGCTGTAAATCGCGCTAAATCGTGTTCTCCACGTTCGACTGGTTTTCAATGTATCGGGAGAGCGAAAGGACTGCAGGATGTCCTGTCTCCCGGAAGTTATTAAATATATGTACTTTCTACTCTGCGTTTTTCGGCCTCAGAATCGATGGAACCTTTATTGGTATCATTATTGAATGAATGTGTACCACGGTCCGCAAATTGAATAAATTAATAGCGTAACATTTATCGGTCATTTCAACTTGGATTTTAGCGGAGAATTTGTAACTGATAAGATATATACGCGACGTAGAGAGTTGCATATCCATGATATCCCCGCCGAGGAAACTCTTATCCAAAGGAGGTGCGATTAAAAGAATATCCCGCAATTCGGAGACATGCTGTATAAATAACGATAAGAAAAGCGTGAATGCGTAGTCT